ACTAAATAACACTTAACCTGTTCTGATCCCTCACCAAGAATTCTCCAGCCTAGACAGGATTTGGATGTCCCAGAGTAAGAGCCTCAATTCTTGAGGAAAGGAAAGGTTGCTAGAAGAGTTGGGAGAACCAAGCTCCTATGACACTGCCTAAAAAGATCTGGAAATAGGCCTCACGACACTGTGTATGGGGCATTTGTGGCTCAGAAATTCATTTTATCCCACGTTAGAATTAGTATGTTTTCCTTCATCTGGTAAGTGTTTGACCTGTGAAAGGGAGACCAGAAGATGATTTGGGGCTTCATTTGGGGTGGAAACAGCAGAAGACCCAACTGAGGCACCTAATCATCTTCTAGACTCCCTTTCACAATAGCAGAATGTTTGTTGCCATGCAATTTTAAAATATATGCTGGATTTAACAACTGCATCTGGGTTTATAGTTCATTCAGCACTGGGCAGATGCACCAGACAAGGAAAATGCTAGAATGTGAGTCACGTATCTTCTTTGAGTGGCATTATAATTTTTTATCCTAACACATGCTAATAAAGAGAATAAAAATACGGAAAAGGTTGTCACACAGTAATGTGGCTTAAGTTAGAGATCTTTAGTGCTGGTGCTAGTGAGGTTTATATTTTGTAGCCATATACTTGTAGCTATGAATTTAATTACCTCGCTGAGATTAAGTTCATTCCCAGTCTGAAACAAATTCTTTAGCTGCTAGCAATGATGTTGAGAAGTAGATGTCTTTCTTATTTGTGTTCTGTTTGTGCATTTGTTAGCAGTCAGGACGCTTCCACTGCCTGTGGCGGGAGAGTGTGCCACACTGCATGACCTCACTCCTCCACTCTTGCATTTACTTGCTCTTGGTGTTGTTTTCAGACTTCCTTCACTTTTTTTGTCTGCCCATATGAGGAAGGTGAAAGTGCATGTCTTTGGAAAGGTGGGGTGGGGGCACTTTCTCCATCCAGTCACAAACCCTGATGGAAAGAGCCATGAGGAGATTGAGTTGGTCTTTCAGGCAGGGCACTGGGTGGAGGGACCTTGGAGCAGTGCTTTCCAGGGCAGCCTGCTAAGCCAAATTACTTCTTCTTCCTCCCGGTTCCTGTGAGGGCCCCCATCTGACGTTCGGCTAGCACTGAGAGCTGCTAGCACTTCCTCTTTACTGGCCTCAACCTGGCTCTGGGGATATCCTCTCTTTTGTTAAACCTGGTAGCTTACGACTTGGTATTGGAAGCTTCAAGAGGCTTACTTTCTTAGGAAAAGGAAAGCAAAACACTCTGCCTGGCAGAAGGCTGGCCCTGTTACCCTTCAAGTGCCCTGTGATATTCTTGGCTTTTCCCTTGTCCTCTTCTGCCACAGGCCTTTGCACACAGTGTTTCCTCTGCTTTGAATGCACTTTTTTCTCTTTGTTCATCCTTTCAGTCACAATTCAAGGACCCCTTGTTCAAAAAAGTTTTCCCAACCTCCCTGACTGCTTTAAGTCTTCCCTTTTGAAAGCTCTCAGAAAGTCATCTGCATTTAGAGATGGTACAGGAAGCTTTCTCAATTTGTAATCCTTTTCC